AAGGCAGACACTTAACAACTGAGCCACCCAGGCGCCCAGAAATGTATTTACTTTAGAGAGAGGGAGAGAGAGAGAAGACTCTCTGCTCAGCATGGAGCCCTATGTGGGGCTTGATCTCACAACCCTGAGGTCATGACCTGAGCTGAAATCAAGAGTTGGATGCTTAGCCAAATGAGCCACCCAGGTGCCCCAGTGATAAAGGTTCTGAAGAAGCTAGCATGCTAACAAAAAATTATGCTAACATGTTTGTCATTGTCAAATCCTGATCATCATTTTCAAAATTATCATCATCTTATTTATTTATGGGAGTTTTTGTATAGTAGTGCTAATAACCCTTTTTAAAACTTTTTAATACCTTATTTTCCTACAGCGGTTTAAAAACTTATGCATGCATATTTATTAAACTTATTCTTTATCATTTCTGAGGTTTCTTTGTCATGCTTAGAAAACCTTTTCATACCCTAATATTATTTTTTTAAGTTCTTCCACATTTTCTTTCTAGCATTTTATTATTTAACTATGTATACATTTAAATATTTATCCACCTGGCATTTATTCTTTCTCTCTTTTTTAATTTTGTTTTTATTGAGGTGAAATTCATATAACATAGAATTTAATAATTTTTTTAAAGATTTTATATATTTATTTATTTTGAGAGAGAGAGAGCATACAGGGGGAGGGACAGAGGGAGAGAGAGAGAGAATCTCAAACAGACTCTACGCTGAGCATGGAGCCCTATGCAGGACTCAATGTCAAGACCCTGAGATCGTGACCTGAGCTGAAAGCAAAGGTCAGACGCTTAACCGACTGTGTCAACTAGGTGCCTTGGGTTTATTTCTTAACTGTTTGACTCCATTGTTCTGTCTGTCTGTGTGCCAGTACCACAAGTTCGCTTCACCTCATATTCATATAATTATCGTTTTAAGTTTTAGGCAAGAAAGTCTGCTCCCTACTCTCACTCTCATCCCCAATTATTGCTTTTGTTATAATTTCCCTTGCTAGTTCCATGTGTTTATTCCTCCAGGTAAAATTTTCATTTCTTTTTATTAATATCATTATAAATACTTAATATCTAAAATAAAAGTGATTTTTTAAATGTAGAATTCTCTCTTAATAAAGATCTCTCTCCATATTCACATGGAAAATTACCGTGTTAATTTGTATTTAAGCAAATGGTCAAGAATCCCATCTCTAAGTGAAAATGGAATGGATGTTCATTGTATATGCCACTGTGGTTAGTGTCATTGTGGTAAATAAAGTTTCACATTTTTAGGTAGACTGTGATTTTTTTTTTTTTAGCTTTGAAATCTGAAGGGGATGATTACTATATTAATGGTGCCTGGACTATTGACTGGCCTCGGAAGTTTGATGTTGCTGGGACAGCTTTTCACTACAAGAGACCAACTGATGAACCAGAATCTTTGGAAGCTCTAGGTCCCACCTCGGAAAATCTCATTGTCATGGTAAATGTGTCTTTGCCACTTAACTTCTACCATTTGTAATCTGTCCTGTGAGGTACAGAGGGGCAGGCTTGATTATCTCTCTTTTACAGGTGGTGAAATCAAGGTTAATGAACATAAAATGGTTTACCCAAGGGTATCAAATTTGTGTAAGGTTAAGGCCATATTGCTCCTTCCATATGGCTTGATCTTTTCAATGCCTGCTCAAATAATATTTTTGTAACCAAACAAGGCATTTGAGAGAAATGGTTCTAAATTACCCATGAAAATGGAAGGAGAAAATTCAATGTAAGTGCATGTGTTCTACAAGTTATCTCCAATTTCCTGTAAGACTTACTTTATGACATTTCTTCTTCAAAAGAAATAATAAGTATCTGAATGAAGCCTCATTGTATTTTAATTATCTTCACCAGTTGTTTTCAATGGCAGGTTCTGCTTCAGGAACAGAATTTGGGAATTAGGTATAAATTCAACGTTCCCATCACTCGGACTGGCAGTGGAGACAATGAAGTTGGCTTTACGTGGAATCATCAGCCTTGGTCAGAATGCTCAGCTACTTGTGCTGGAGGTAAGACACCCACTAGGCAGCCCACCCAGAGGGCAGATGGAAAGCAAAACATATTCTGAGCTATGCTTTGTGTTTGCTAAAGAAGCTAATTGGAAACATTTCTTGCAGGTTTGCTTCAAGCTGTAATTTAGCAAAAGAAACTTTGCTTTAATTATATTATATTCCGTTTGTTTTTAACCTCATGTAATTTGTACAGATTTGTTGGTAAAATACATCTTGGCACAATGAGTGTCTCTGCTGGTGCTTCTCCCAAGACTATCTTGAAGGTGGGCTGTTTGCTTTTCGTGAACACATTCTTGGTAAAGAACATCAAGAGTTTTAAATCAGAAAATGAGCAAGAATCAGACGGCACAGATGCAACTTCTTGTAATGGGGGATGAGAATGTATGTCTGTGTGCTTGCGTGTTTGTGTTTGTGTGCTTGTGTGTTTCCCACAAACCTATTCAAACTCCCTTCTCCAGCCATCACAGTTAAGGGGCTATATGCTGGGATACTACGATAATTCCTGGTGTCTGGGTCTCCGGGTTAATGGTGTATGCTGACCCCGTTATAGTCCCTCAGAGAGGTAGCTGCTAGGCGGTGGTTGGTGATGTGTTGGTTGTCCCATGTGCGTTTTTCATGGGTGCCTTTTCCCCACAATTTACTCTATTCCTAATCCTCCTCCCTCTAGTGGCCACCAATGCAATTCTTTACCTCTGGCTGGGAGAGCAGGACAGTTGGCTTCCTTCAAAGCCAACACCCTTGCTGCTGCATGGACTGGTGAGTAGAAGTGCTGTGCAAGCAGCATCTTCCTTCTCTCTGGAGACTAAATGCATCGCCTCCACCGTACACCTTGGTCCCAATAGGCAAGGAAGCAACCCTATCCCCCAGGCCTAGGCTGGGCTAGAGGACCTCACCATTCCAAAAGCAAAGATTGATTTTGAATAGTGATATTTAGAACGGGAGAAATAGAAATAAAGTGAATCATCCCATTTTACTCCATTTCCAATGTATTGCCTATTTTCCCTTTCTAAACTGCTCAGAAACACATGATTGGACAAGACCTTTACCCTATCTTGTCCTGCACTCATTGAATTTCTAAACACCTCTGATTCTTGAGGCTCCTCCTTGAGGAGGAATTATTTTCACAGAAATGATTATTATATAATATATTCAGTATTTTTAGACTCATTCAGAAATAAATCATTGATTAGCTATAACTTCAACTTTAGTAGTAAACACAATATAAAACATCAAAAAAGCAAATTAATAATAATAATAATGTCTTCTCCTGTGTGAGGTGTCATGAAACATGGTTATATATAATTTGTGACATATTTTAAAAGATCTCTAATTCCTATCCGTTTTATGTGTGACATGGCTAGTGATTTATAATGTAAAGTTTTAAAAACTGTAAGGCATTACTATATATTTTAATAAAATAAAGGATATTTGAAATTAATTGTTCAAGTGAATGCCACCGTATTACATTTTAGTGGCATTTATACATTTATCTTTCTTTGTTCCAATAAATTCATTTTTGTTCAAGCTATAAATTAACTTATCCCTTTCACATACCAAAAAAAACCAAAAAAGTCTTCATGATAACTGTACATATATAATTCAGGCCCTGAAGTATAAGGTAGGATAAAGTTATTAAGGAAGAGTCAAAATAAAGTTTAGGAAATCTAATGAGGAAAGTCTAAATGTTGAGGATGATTAGCTTGGAGAAGAGAAGGCTGAGGGAAAGTATATTAGTATCTTCAAGTCTGTGACAGAATGTTGAATGAGAAATTCTTAGTGCCTGTTCGTCTTTGTACTGAAAATTGCTATATTTGGGGATGGTTTAGACACAGTCTTGTCTGAGGCCAAGGAGGGATTAAGTGAATTCTCAGTGTTCCTTCTAACCCTATGATTCTTTTGTTCAAAAAGGAGATAGTCCGACAAATAGGGTGGTGTTAGGCCCTGAGAACTGAATTTAGAAGAAAAGCTGTGATTATATTAAAGATATATGAAAAGTCTAAAGGAGTGTTATTCTTTTCTATAACACTCGCATTGGGAAATCATAATACAAAAATGATTTCCTGTGGTAGGGGATAAAACAAAAGGAAGAACAAGGAGGGAGAAAATCCCCTGGAAGGAGAATTTTCTCTGTTATTTGTACTTTTTCCCTCTGTTCTGGAGCCTACTGATCGTAGATATTTGAGGCAGTTCTTGAAACTGGAATCCTGCTCAGTTGTGTGTGATTATGACAGCAGGCATGAGGCAGTCTTGAGGCCATTGCCTTCTTTGGAAGAGAGATGTACAGTGCTTGGAAGTCGGCTGGGATAGTGTGAAGAGCTGCCATTTGGCTGGCTTGGTAAGTGGTTCTCAAAGTGCGGCCACTGTACCAGCAGCATCAGCATCACCTGAGAATTTATTAGAAATGCTACTTTGGGGGCCCCCTCTCAGATCTACTGAATAGAAACTCTGGGTGGGCCTCAACAGTCTGTTTTAAATAGCTCTCCAGGTGATTGTGATGCTCGCTCAAGTTTGAGTACTAATGATTTGGTTGACAGAGAAACTGAAACCTGGAGACATAGAATCTATGCCCTCCTCACTGATGTCTGTGCATCCTCTCTAGATTCACTTTGCACCTAGAACAATATCTGGAATATACTAGGTACTCAATAAATATTCAGAGATGAGTGGATGAGCAAAAGGAATCAATTATTTTGGCAATTATTTACTTGTGCTAGCTTTTTCCAGTGTAGGAAATAAGGGTTGAGAATTGTTAATTTTCTTGGGAGGTGGGACAGTTTTTAATTGGGATAAAGTCAGTTCTTTTTTTTTTTTTAAGATTTTATTTATTTATTTGACAGAGAGAGAGACAGCAGGAGTGGGAACACAAGCAAGGGGAGTGGGAGAGGGAGAAGCAGGCTTCCCGCTGAGCAGGGAGCCCGACACATGGGGCTCGATCCCAGGACTCGGGGATCATGACCCAAGCCCGAAGCAGATGCTTAACTACTGAGCCACCCAGGTGCCCCAAGGGATAAAGTCAGTTCTTAATTGGGATATTTCACTCTCATCTTTCCAGGGTGATGCTAGGTGTCTTGAGGACACCAAAATTTTTTAAAATGGAAAAAGAGAAAACAAGAAAGATCTCAAAGAACTTTCTGTTGCAATCTCACAAGACTATTCAGTGATCTCACCTATTACTCTCCTGCATATGTTTTATTAGTGGCAAATAACAAACTGAATTTGGGAGCAATGTTGATAGCTTTCTCTTATGATATCTTTTAAGATAAGAAGTTTTGAGATTGTTTTTCTGTTGCTTAGCAGACCCAATGACAAATCTCATGCTGCAGGAAATATTGCTGGTGATTCAGTCTAAGTAATGGTTTTCTCTGAGTAAGTGCTGAAACACTTCCTTAGCCTGAATAAGAACATTGAGATGCTGTGGGGTGTTGTCTTCAGGATAAATGTGATTTTTAAGATACAGTTGTGATTCTTCCTCTGAGAGACGCTCAGGCCCAGTGAATTAAAATTTGACTCTTTTCTGAACTACTGTTAACTCCTACTAGAGTTTTGTTTCTTTATTCCTTATCCAGAGTGTTATATGCTCTGTGATTTATCTGATTCCCAAATTTATATACTACCATTGTATTCATGATTAATGTGTTAATTGATAAAGCTCAGCTGGGTAAGGAGAATTATATTATTTTTGAATACAAAGCTTTAGGAATTTTTTTAAAGTAGTAATTTAGGCCACTGTGTCTTTGCACTGCAACATTTAAAGTTTCAAATAACAAATATTATGTATTTTTCCTTTGATATTAATCATACCTACTCACTTTTTACTCACTTTGGTTGGATGTATGGTCCTCATATTTTAACATCAGAATTACCTGGATGTCTTATTCAAATAAGATTGCTAGGTTCTGCCTTCAATTTTGGATTCAGTAGGTGTGGGATAGACCCCAAAAATTTGCACTTCTGAAAGGTGTTCAGGTGATGCTGTTGCTAGTGGCTCAGGAACCATACTTAGTGAAAAACACTGGGCTAGACCCTTAGATTTCATAAAGTAAATGCCTATTAAAACAAAGTGGCAAATCATTTAGGTAATAATCCATATTGCAGTTGTAATTTACATTACAGCTAGTCTTTTTAATGATAAATGGTTCTGCTCAGCTATGTAATAATAAATAAAATGTTGTAGTTTATAAAACATTTTCTGCTACCCTATTACATTTGATCATCATCAACAGCACCATAAGCCTAGGCATTGCTTTTATCATTCCTATTTTGTAGATAAAACCCAAGTGAAGTAACTTCCTGAAATCAAGACTTAGAAATTGTCTAGTGATTTTTTAAATGTAGAATTCTCTCTTAATAAAGATGGTCCTTTACGTTGAACAGAGCCTTTCCACCAGTTGGCAACTTCCATAGAACAACATGATAAATCCCCATTAAAAAAAAATCTCCTTCACTAGTTCGAAATTTTATTTTTTCAAATGCTTTACCTAAAGCCAGTGGTTCCTAACTTTGGTCGTACATTGGAATCACCTGGAGAACTTTGAACAATTCTGATGATTGGCCCGCCCCCCAGAAGTTCTGATGTAATTTGTCAAGAGTGTGGCCTGGGCATCAGATTTTTAAAACCTCCCTAGGTAATTCTAATGTGCAGCCAAGGTTGAGAAGTCCTGCCGTTGAGGCTGATGGAAAGTTTATTTAGTATTCAAGTAATTTACATTCAGATGCAAATGCCACTGGTAGCATTAACTCACATTTCTGTTATTAAGTAGCCACTAGTTAACTAATGCAAAGATTAATGAGATTTATTTATATGTATTTGGGGTGGGAAAGTAGAACAGGACATTAACGGTGGGAATGAAAAATGTAATAGAATGCCAGTTAATTTTGTAATTTTGTTTAATGTGGCCATCAGCCTTGGACATGCCTTTAGAAAGCTTTTTTCAGTTTATTTACATGCTCTCTCTACCTGATGGATCATTTATAAGCATCTGATCAATGCTTTTAAA